TGGCAACCAATTATTATTATGATAGTAATATTATGATAGTTTAATATAAGAACAGTGACTGAGTCACACCACACAAAAACAAAAGTTTTAGACTTTAGAAAAACAGACTTTTCTAAAATTAGAATATGGGTAGAGGAGTCATTATCAGACTGGAGCAATTTAAATGGAGTCCAAGAAAAATAGGATTATTTAAAAGTTGCACTATTGAAGGCAACAGAAAATTGCATTAGGCTTGTCAGTAAAAGCAAAAATTCAAGAAACCACTGTGGTACTCCGCAGATGTGGCCAAAATAGTTAAAAACAAAAAGTTAGCATTTAGGAATTATAAAAAAAACCAGAGTGAGGAAGACAAAATGATCTATAAGATTAGGCAGAAAGAGACTAAGCAAGTTATAAGAGCTTCCAAATCACACACAGAAGAGAAAATAGCACAGTCAGTAAAAAAGGGGGATAAAATTTTTTTTAGATACATAAATGAGAAAAGAAAAGTAAAACAAGGATTAGTTAGATTAAAAGCAAAAGAAGGAAGGTATGTAGAAGAGGATAAAGGTCTAGCTGACTGCCTCAATGAATATGTTTGTTCTGTATTTACAGATGAAAATGAAGGAAAGGGACCTCAGTTAAGAAAAAGGATAAATGAGTCATTTATTACACGTGAGTTTACAGAGGAAGAGGTTCTATTTCAACTGTCAAAAGTAAAGACAAATAAGTCAATGGGACCTGATGGAATACACCCAAAGCTATTAAAGAGCTTAGTGGTGTACTAGCAAAACCATTAACAGATTTATTTAACCAATCATTGTTAACAGGAGTAGTCCCAGAAGATTGGAAGTTAGCGAATGTTGTGCCCATTTACAAGAAAGGTAATAGGGAGGAGTCAGGCAACTATAGGCCAGTAAGCCTTACTTCAGTAGTAGGGAAAGTGATGGAAACCATGTTAAAGGATAGGATTGATGAACATCTAAAAACACATGGATTTCAAGATCAGAGACAACATGGGTTTACTTCAGGGAGATCATACCAAACTAATCTTATTGATTTTTTTGATTGGGTAACTAAAATTATAGATCAGGGTAGTGCAGTAGACATTGCTTACCTAGATTTCAGTAAGGCTTTTGACACTGTTGCACATAGAAGGCTTATCAATAAACTGCAATCTTTAAGTTTGGATTCCAATATTGTTGAATGGGTAAGGCAGTGGCTGAATGACAGGCAACAGAGGGTTGTAGTTAATGGAATATATTGGAAGCTTGGACTTGTCACCAGTGGGGTACCTCAGGGATCTGTACTTGGACCCATTCTCTTTTAATATTTTTATTAGTGATATTGCAGAAGGTCTTGATGGTAAGGTATGTCTTTTTGCTGATGATACTAAGATATGTAACAGGGTTGATGTTCCAGGAGGATAAGCCAAATGACAAATGATTTAGGTAAACTAGAAAAATGGTCAGAATTGTGGCAACTGACATTTAATGTGGATAAGTGCAAGATAATGCATCTTGGGCGTAAAAACCCAAGGGCAGAGTACAGAATATTTGATAGAGTCCTAACCTCAACATATGAGGAAAGGGATTTAGGGGTGATTATTTCTGATGACTTAAAGGTAGGAAGACAATGTAATAGAGCAGGAGGAAATGCTAGCAGAATGCTTGGTTGTATAGGGAGAGGTATTAGCAGTAGAAAGAGGGAAGTGCTCATGCCATTGTACAGAACACTGGTGAGACCTCACTTGGAGTATTGTACACAGTACTGGAGACCGTATCTTCAGAAGGATATTGATACCTTAGAGAGGGTTCAGAGAAGGGCTACTAAACTGGTTCATGGATTGCGGGATAAAACTTACCAGGAAAGGTTAAGGATCTTAACATGTATAGCTTGGAGGAAAGACGAGACAGGGGGGATATGATAGAAACATTTAAATATATAAAGGGAATCAACACATTAAAGGAGGAGACTATATTTAAAAGAAGAAAAACTACCACAACAAGAGGACATAGTCTTAAATTAGAGGGACAAAGGTTTAAAAATAATATCAGAAGTATTACTTTACTGAGAGGGTAGTGGATGCATGGAATAGCCTTCCAGCTGAAGTGGTAGAGGTTAACACAGTAAAGGAGTTTAAGCATGCGTGGGATAGGCATAAGGCTATCCTATCTATAAGATAAGGCTAGGGACTAATGAAAGTTTTTAGAAAATTGGGCAGACTAGATGGGCCGAATGGTTCTTATCTGCCGTCACATTCTATGTTTCTATGTTTCTATGTTTCTAAGTAAGGAGATCCATACAATGGAGAAGGTCAGATAGTCAAGGACTCTGTTTAAGAAGTACTGTATCACCTGGTATCACCCTTGGCTGAACTATTTTTACCTAGAAGTTCAGGGTATTTTCACTGGTTACTTAAAGGGACATGTGACGGTAGTCACTGTCTCTGGTTATGAAAGACAAACACTATGTGTGGGTCCCCAGATTCCTTTTGTGTTTTGGTCACCCTGTGCCCATTATTGATGCAGGGTATGTTGAATGTATTGCTTGACTGTGCCTCTTGCCTCCCCCTTTTTGCGGTCTTATTATTTCCCCAGCAGGGTGTTGTCCCAGGGACACTGCCAGACCAGTTTAAACTAGCTGTTCTGTCCCTCCTCAATCTCCCATCGACCCTTGCTATTGTCTGACTCCACCCTTCCTTGTACTATAGTGCTCTATGTACCCTATTGTATGTAAATGATACTGTTGGGGGCTTAAATGTGTGTGCTTTGTCTATTAACGTTAGTTGTTGTTTTAACCTTCACCATGTGTCGTCTGATGTTTGGTCCAGGGTGGAAAAGGCACTCGGTGATCCCAGTCAAGCCTTGGCGAATGGGTCTGAAGTGCTCCAGGGTCCATGATAGCTATGAGGAAGCGGACTTGGCAGAGGTACTCAGTTGGAGTACTGGAGCTCCATCACATTTGGTTGGCAGCAGTGGTATGACTTCCTAACTATTGTGGAAACATCCAAGACAAAACTGGAATCCCTGCACATTGTCTGGGATGGATAGAGTTAGCACCCGTGCAGCATCCCCATCCGAGGAGGAGTTCCAGAGGAAACTACAGGAAGCTCTGTTCAGTATGAGTACACAGTTTCAGGAGAGAGTGAACTGTATTTTAGGGACCAGATACAAAAGGAATGAGGGAACGAGGTACCTGAGGAAGTTCAGGTTCTCCAGAGGGAATTTCTCTCAACCCCAGAACAGCGACTTCATGATCAACCTGATCTGTGTATACAGAGTGCAGCCCCTGGAGGAATGGGTGGTTGAACTTGAGTGACAGATCTGAATGGAATTGTGGGTGGACAATGGTTACTGGGCCTTACGATGATATGCAGTCCAGCAGTACCCATGGCTAGGTGATGACAACTCTCCAGAGGTTGAGGACCATGGTGGCCCTGGACTATTGTGGACGATTTTATGAGCCCTGCTGTTTTCCAACTCAGGGACATCCAGGAATTTAGGACAGACCTCCTGGATCGATCTGAAACGACAGACCTGGAACCTGATCCGACCTACCTAGCCACCCTGGAGTGGGAGCTTGTACAGGATTACAAGCAATTGTTTGACTCTGCACAGCAGCAGGTACCAGAGACTGGGGATTTAATAGACCTTATATCTGAGTATGCTGGTCAGGTAGATGTGGAAGGGACTGTAATCACATCTGAATCACAGGGATACTGAGGGGCTGGCCCTGATCCCCAATCCCCTGGCATGCAAACCCAGGGAGCAGAGGTAAAGGTTGTCAGTCTCCCTCCCCCCCACCCAGCAGCAGGTTGAGTTACTGGGAATAGAGGCAGTCAGTCTCTCTCCCCAGCAGGAGTGTGCTTTCCAGGGAGAGGAGAGTATTGTCCTCCATCCCCAGCAGCAGAATGTGTTCCAGGGAGGGGAGACAGTCAGTCTCACCCACCAGCAGCAGTGTGAGTTATTGGGAGTGGAGACAGTCAGTCTCACTCCCCTGCAGCAGATTGTGTTCCAGGGAGGGGAGACAATCTCACTTCCCAGTTCCAGTATTTATTAAAGGGAGAGGAGAACACAGATCCCCAACCCCATGTCAGATGGGGGCCCAGCCACCCTGCCTTCCATCCAGTGGCTGAGAGAGATCTAGGGAGACAGGACAGTGGTAACGCATTGCCAGAGGCAGGTATATGCTTCAGTTGTTGCAGAGGTCAGCATAAGCAATTCGCTTGGGGTACCGATTTGGTGAGGGCCTTAATGGGCTGGATGTACTGACTAACTTCAGAGTCAACCCATCTGGGGTCTCCTTTCGAATGGTTCCAGATTTGCTATTGGGGTGTGTGTGTCATGGTGGCCCCCTGAGAGTGGAGTCATATAAGGTTTGTGTTTGGAAGGAGGGCCACGGCCGATTTACTGGGAACTTCCTTTCTCCACTTCCAAGTCTTCTCTTATGTCAAAGTCACTCTGTGCTTATCAGGGGCAACGGGTGACCAGGAAGCCCAGTCTGGCCTGCTCAAACCAGACTTCTACGGACTGATAGTTTATGAGGGCTCCCTGCGCCCCACCGGGACAAACTTACAAACTATGTAGAACTTTGTAGAAGAGGATGCCAGGATGGATTGGCTTTTTAGGACTTAGGCATGAAAATATGTGATGGTAGTCACCGTCTCTGGGGATGGAAGACAAACACTATGCCTTTTGTGTTTTGGTCACCCTGTGCCCATTATTGATGCAGGGTATGTTTAATGTATTGCTTGTCTGTGCCTCTCCCCTCCCCTCCCCCTTTTTCTGACCTATTGTTTTCCCAGCAGGGCATTGTCCAAGGGACACTGCCAGACCAGTTTAAACTAACTGCTCTGTCCCTCCTCAATCTCCCATCATCCCTTGCTATTGTCTAACTCCACCCTTCCTATTTTATGTAAATGAGGCTGTTGTGGGTTTAAATGTGTGTGCTAGGTCTATTGAAGTTAGTTGTTATTTTAACCTTCATGTTCTACGAAGAAGTAAGTAGAAGTATAGATCAGGGTGTTGCAGTGGATGTGATCTATTTGGATTTTGCCAAGGCATTTGATACAGTTCCACACAATAGATTAGTGTTCAAACTCAAGGAAATCGGTCTAGATGAAAATGCTTGTTCTTGGGTAGAACATTGGCTTAAAAACAGAGTACAAAGAGTTGTCATTAATAGTAAATTTTCAAGCTGGACAGAGGTGGCAAGTGGTGTCCCTCAGGGGTCTGTTCTGGGACCCCTTCTATTTAACATGTTTATAAATGATCTTGAAGACCGCATTGAAAGTCATGTTTCAGTGTTTGCAGATGACACCAAACTTTGTAAAACAATACAATGTGAGCAAGATATTACTTTGCTGCAGAGGGACTTAGATAGACTGGGGGACTGGGCACTCAAATGGCAGATAAAATTTAATGTTGAAAAATGCAAAGTTATGCACTTCGGCGTAAAGAATACACAAGCAACGTATACCCTTAATGGATGCGAATTAGGGATAACAACACACGAAAAGGACTTGGGAATTGTTATAGACAACAAACTATGCAACAATGTGCAATGTCAATCAGCAGTGGCCAAGGCCAGTAAGGTATTGTCATGCATGAAAAAGGGCATTAATTCTCAGGACGAGAATATAATTTTGCCTCTTTATAAATCACTGGTTAAGACCACATATTGAATATGCTGTACAATTTTGGGCACCTGTTCTAAAGAAAGATATTATGGCACTAGAAAAAGTGCAGAGGCGGGCTACAAAATTAATAAAAGGAATGGAACATATCAGCTATGAAGAAAGGTTAACAAATTTAAACCTATTTAGTTTAGAAAAACATTGCTTGAGAGGGGATATGATAACATTATACAAATATATTCGGGGCCAATACAAACCATTGTGTGGAAATCTATTCACAAACCGGACTTTACATAGGACACGAGGCCATGCGTTTAGACTGGAGGAAAGAAGATTTTGTCTAAGGCAAAGGAAAGGTTTTTTTACTGTAAGAACAAATCAGGATGTGGAATTCTCTGCCTGAAGAAGTGGCTTTATCTGAGTCCATACAGATGTTCAAACAGCTACTAGATGCATTCTTGCAAAAACAGAATATTCAAGGATATAATCTTTCAATGTAGGGTAATAACTGCTTGATCCAAGGATAAATCTGACTGCCATTCTGGGGTCAAGAAATAATTTTTTTCATAGCTTGTTGCAAAATTGTGCTTCAAACTGCGTTTTTTTGCCTTCTTTTGGAGCAACAGCAAAAAACAAACGTGAGGAAGGCTGAACTTG